TCTCTGCTTCTTTCTTTTCTTTGTCACTTTTAGTTTTTCCTTTCCACTCAAAGAGTCCCCTTTAATATTTCTTGCAGTGCTGGTTTAGTGGTCACAAACTCCTTTAGTTTTTCTTTCCTTCTCTTCTGAATGATAGCCTTGCTGGATAGAATATTCTTGGCTACATTCTTTTCCCAATCAGCACTTTGCATATATCATGCCACTCCTTTCTGGCTTGCCATGTTTTTGTTGAGAAATCTGTAGCCTCCCTTACAGGTCTTCCCTTGTAAGTTAAGGACTTCTTTTGTCCTGCTGCTTTTAATATTTTTTCTATTTTTCTTTTTTGTTTTTAAAAAGATTTTATTTATTTAATTTGAGAGAGAGAGAGAGAGAGAGCATAAGCAGGGGGAATGGCAGGGAGAGGGGGAAGCAGATTCCCTGCAGAGCAAGGAGCCTGATGTGGGACTCAGTTGCAGGACTGTGGGATCATGACCTGAGCCAAAGGCAGATGCTTAAGTCACTGAGCCACCCAGGTGCCCCAAGATTTTTTCTTTATCACTGTATTTTGCAAATTTAATTACAATGTCTTGATGTTGGCCTGCTTTTGTCGATGTTGGTGGGAGTTCTCTATGCCTCCTGGATCTGGATAGATCTTTCCTTTCCCAGATTAGGGAAGTTTTCTGTTATTATTTCTTCAAATAAATTCCTCCCCCCCTTCTCCCTTTCTTTTTATAGGACCTATAATCCAGATGTTTTACTTTTGATGGAGTCACTCAGTCCCCTAAGTCTATTCTCATGTTCCATAATTCTTTCTGTCTTTTGTTCAGCTTCCTTATTTTCCATTATTTTGTCTTCTGTATCACTAACTCTTATGTTTCTTCCAGCCTTGTGTCCATTGTCTCAAGCCTGTTTCCAATCTCAACGATTGCATTTCTCATTTCTGACAGATTCTTTTTAACCCTATTATTTCTGTGTTAGGGGTCTCCCTGAAGTCTTCCATTCTTTTCTCAAGTCCAATGAGTATCCTTATGATGTTGCTTTAAATTCGCCATCAGACATGTTACTTACATGTTTCGCTTAGATCTCTGTGACTTTATCTTGATCTTTCATGTGGGGTGAATTCTTCCATCTTGGCACTTTGTCTAAGTCTCTGCCACCGCCTTCTTCAGTGTGGCCTCTTTTCTTGCTTTAGTCTTAGAATTTGTTCTGTCAGTCTTCAGGTTCCTTTCTTAGGTATTTAGGATGATTGTTATCTAGCTGCATTTGTGGGACAAGGTGAGCCTAGGGTGGTTCTATTATGCTACCATCTTCCTCTGTAGAGTGATCTTTTTAAGTCTCTCAAAAACTCCTTTGTGAAGTTTCATGAGATTGTGTATGCTGATCATGGTAGGCTGCGTAAGGGCCCCCAAAGATATCCAGGTCCTAATTTCTGGAACTTGTGAATGTTATAAGGCAAAATGGACTTTGCAGATATGATTAAGGATTTGGAGATTGAGAGATTCTCCTGGTGGGCTCTAAATATAATCACAAATGTCCTTATGAGAAGGAAATAGATGTTTGACATGACAAGAAAGTGATGTGACTAGAAGCAGAGAGTGGCACAATGTACTATGAAGGTCTTGGGAGGGGCCATAATCTGAAGAAAACAGAAAATTGCTAGAAGCTGAAAAACACAAGAGATAGGTTTTCCCTTCAGGCCTCTAGTAGGAGTCAGCCCTGTCTATGCTTGACTTTAGTCCACTGAAACCAATCTCAGACTTCTGGCACCTAGAAGTGTAAAATAATATATTAGTGTCTTAAGCCATCAAGTCTGATAATTTGTTATAGTAGCCATAGGAAACTAATACAGATTTTGGCACCTGGAATTGAGGTGCAGCTGTAACAAATACTTGAAAGTGTGGAAGTAGCTTTGGATTTGGGTAATGAGTAGTTGGAAGAGTTTTGAGGTGCAAAATAGAAAAAGGTAGGTCACCTTGAGTAGACTGTTGATAGAAACACAGACGTTAGGGATGCTGCTGGTGAGGCTCAAAAGGAAATGAGGAGCATGTTAGTAGAAAATAGATGAAGGACAATCATGCAGAGAGCTGGGTTGAATCCTGTCCTGTCCTTATGTCAGAAGCAGAACTTGTAAGTGGGGAACTTGGACATTCAGCTAAAGGGATTTCCAAGCAAAGTGTTGAAAGCATGACCTGGTTTCTTCTTGTTGCTTATAGTAAAATGTGAGGGAGAGAAGATAAATTGAGGAAAAAACTGTTATGTAAAAGGGAAACAGGACTTGATGATTTGGGAAATTCTCAGCCTATCCAGGTAGTAGAAGTGCTAGTATTAGGAAGGAGATTCACTGTTAGGAAAGTATGTTCTGGAGAAAAAGCAAGGATGTGGCTGGACAGTATTTTGTGGGTGTTGAAGAGATTGGGTGTGTAATTTATGGCTCCCTTCAATTATCTTAGCAGATGTCAGAAATAGAAATGGGATTATCCAATGACCCGTGGAGGAGCCTCTTGTTTAATGGAATGAGTCTCTGTGGCCTGCAGGAGACTCACAGCATTTTTTGAAAATGTTATACCAGTAAGAATGTTGTCAGTTTGAACAAAGGGAAGATAGAGAAAACAAAAAGAAAAAAAGCCTACTGGACTTCCAAAACCATAGAGGCAGGAAGTGGACTGATGAGGCTATTCAGCTGTGAACACACACTATATTTTCTAAAAAAGGATGATTGTGGCTGGAGCCACAGGTCAAGAGGATGGAGCCTTCTGCCACAAGGGTTACTCCTAGGTCTTGACAGCTAATAGGATTTGCCCTGTGGGATTTCAAAATTGCTTGGGACTGATAATTTCCATTTTCCTTCCACGTTCTCCCTTTCTGAATGGCAGTGTCTACAACTCTTATTCTGTGCCTGTCCCATCATTGTATGTTGGGAGTGGAGAACTCATAAGTCTTCAGGTGGAGAGGAATTTTACTCCAGGATGATGGATCACACCAGAATGTCACCCATAGCTTGTTTAGATGATTTAGATGATGAGATTTGAGACTTTCGAGGTGATGATATTTAGATGAGCATTTGGACATGGGTTGATGTTGTAATGGGTTGAGATTTTTGGATGTTGGGATGGGGTAAATGTATTTTGTGTGTGGGATAGATGTTAATTTGAGGGCAGGCTGTGATGAGCTGAAAAATGGCTATCAAATATATCTAGGTCATTATCCCTGGAACTTGTGAATGCTACTTCATATGGCAAAAGGGATTTTGTAGATCCTTCAGTTAAGGATGGGGAGATTATTCTGGATTATCAATGTGAGACCTAATGTACTTTGAAGATGGAGGAAAGAGCTACCAGTCAAGGATACAGGTCACTACTAGAGGTTGAAAAGGGCAAGAAGATGGGTTTTCCCCTTAGGCCCCTCAGGAGGAATCAGCCAACACCTTGACTTTAGCCTATTGATGTTGATTTCAAACTTCTGGACTCTAGAACTGTGAGAGAATAAATTTGTGTTATTATAAGCTGCCAAAATATGTGGCAATTTGTTACAGCAGCCATAGGAAGCAAATACATCAACCTTTAAGTTAATTTGGGACTAATCTATAATTTATAATAGTCAGTTGTTCCATCTAGGTATATGATAAGCCTTTCCACTTATTTGAGTCTTGTATTTTTCTCAAAGTGTAATTTTATTCAAAAAGTTCTTGTAGATTTTGTGATGACATTACTATGGGTGCTATAGTGAATGGAATTATTTTAAACTTTTTTTTTAACATTTTATTTATTTATTCATGAGAGACACAGAAGGAGAGGCAGAGACATAGGCAGAGGGAGAAGTAAGCTCCCCGCAGGAAACCTGATGCGGGCAGGACTCAATCCCCAGTCTGGGGATCACACCCTGAGCCAAAGGCAGACACTCAACCACTGTGCCACTCAGGCATCCCTGTTTTTTTGTTTTGTTTTGTCTTGTTTTGTTTTGTTTTTATTGTTTTTATTTATTTTATTTATTTTTATTTTTATTTTTTTATTTTTTGTTTTTGTTTTTTTTGTTTGTTTTGTTTTTAAAGAGAAAAGCTGTGTGCCTGCTTGGCTCAGTTGGAGGGGCATGCAGCTCTTGATCTTTGGGTCATGGATTCAGACCCCATGTTGGGTGTAGACATTACTAAATAAGTACTTAAAAAAAGATAAAAGATATTTTTGAATTTATTTTAAAGGATCACAAAGGGTAAGCAAGTGACAGCTTATCTATTGGGAATGATTTTTTTGTTCATTTCTCTAGAGTAGATATTTTAATGGAATATGGTCTCTTTGGGATTAGGTGTCACATTTTTTAAAAAGATTTATTTATTTGAGAGAGAGAGAGCGAGTGCGAGTGTGAGTGTGAGTGCACAAGTGGAGAGGAAGAGCAGAGGGAGAGGGAGAGGGAGAGGGAGAAGCAGGCTCCCCACTGAGCAGGGAGCCCCGTGTGGGGCTTGATCCCAGGATCCTGAGATCATAATCTGAGCTAAAGGCAGATGCTTAACCAACTGAGCCACCCAGGTGCCCCAGGTGTAACATTTAATATTTATTTGTCTTCAAAATTTTAGCACAATTTTAGGAATACAGTGAGTGTCCCAAAGTGCTGTGCTAGTTGAGTATTATATATATCTAGAAATTCAATGAAAACAACCTTAACAAATCTTCCAAATCTTCTGCACACAGTCTTTTTTTTTTTTTCTTTTAAGATTTTAAAATTTATTTACTTGAGAGAGAGCAAATGAGGGAGAGAGCACAAGGACAGGGGCAGGCAAAGGGAAAATGAGAAGCAGACTCCTTGCTGAACAGAGAGCCCAGTCCTGGGGGCACTTAATTGCAGGACCCTGGGATCATGACCTAAGCTGAAGCAGATGCTTAACTGATTGAGCACCCAGGTGCCCATTCTATACACAGTATTTATAAAGTATTTATAAACTCTGAATATGTAATAGTACCTTGTAAGTAGTTGAGCATATCTTTTAGTCTTTGTCTTATTATTGGCATTTTATTGTTGTATTCCTTCAGATGCAAGACTGGCTCTGAAAAAATATATTGCAAAGGTCTCCACAGCTGTTACAGATACAGAAAAGGGACCAGGAAAACTCTTTAAGGAAGACAAGGTACTGCATTGTGACTATTGGTTGTTCAGAACTCTTTTGAGATTTTTGCCTTACATCTTTAATTTCTATACTAATGCTCTAGAGGTAGGTGGTGGTCCTTACTGCTGTCTTCTCCTTCCCTCCCTTCCCACTTTCCTCCTGCCCTCCCTTTCTCTCTTCTTCCTTCCTTTACTTCTTCCTTAGTAAACTACTAGTAAGAGATAGACTGATAAAAATTAAATGTAATAATATTAAAGAGTGACATATAGATGTATGTGCTAAGTATTGCACTCAACAACATGAATACTTTTTTAAAAAATTATTTATTTTTTTTGAAAGAGAGTATGCACAAGCAAGGCGGAGGGGCAGAGAGAGAGGGAGAGAGTTTTAAGCAGACTCTGTATGCTGAGTGTGGAGCCTGATTGGGACTTGATCTTACGACCCAGAGATCACCATCCTGAGATCATGACCGGAGCTGAAACCAAGGGAGAGGTGCTTAACTGAATGCGTCACCCACGTACCCAAATGTGAATCCATTTTTGAAATGGATTGTTGAATGAAGGAAAAAAAATCACCAAAGACTGTAGAGATTTTCATAAATGTCAAAATCAAGCAAAATAAAACTATATTGTTTAGGGATTCCTACACATGGGGTAAAACTATTAAAAAAAAAGCGAAGTTATAAACACAGATTGTAATTATTTCTTGCAGGAGGACAGAGGGATGGATTAGGGGTGGGGCACAGAAGTTGCGTTAGCACTACTGACAATGTTCTGGTTATTCTGTTGATTAGCAGGGTCTACTGATACTTATTTCATTAAGTTTTGCTTTAAAACTTACATATACATCGTATTTTAGTTTCTATGTATATATACATTACATATTTTTTTACATTACATATTTTTTAATGTATCAAACTTTACATAATGGTAAAAAGAGATACACAAACATAAAGATAGCTAATTGTAAAGCCAACTTCCCACATTTACCATATACTAAGTACTGCATATGGACTAGTTTATTGCTTTGGATATACATTAAACTAAAAAGATATGCTCCAGGTACCAGAAATGTGTTTTGGTTTTAAATTATCTCTTACAGAGTGCCTGGGTGGTTCAGTCAGTTGGGTGACTGACTCTTGCTTTCAGCTCTGGTCATGATTTCGGGGTGGTGGGATCAAGACCTGTGAAGGGCTCCACGCTCACTGGGGAGTCTGCTTGAGATTCTCTCTTTCTCCCTATGTCCCTCCCCCTATTTGCATGTATGCTCTCACTCTTTCAAATAAATAAATAAATCTTAAAAACAAATAAAAAAATTATCTCTTCCATTTCTATGCAGGATGTTCTGTGAATTCCCTGTCACTTATAGTTCTGATGGAAAAGAATTAGCTATTGCTAAAAGTGTAAGACATCCCCAAGTCTGAGAGCATGATAAATTACACATTTCACTTGTGGTTTGTAAAATACTTTACAAAATCTCTTATGAAACCAACAAAACATAGGCAAAATTTTATTAAAATAGCTATTGCAGCTATTAGATCTGGGAAACAAAAATTTCCTGCCATGGACAGTGCCTTATGTAGTTACTCTAAGGGCTTTTCTAATTTCAATTTTTAAATATTTGGCTATTTAAACTAGAAAATATTGCATAAATATAGTAATAATTAGAATAAAATTGAAATGCCTAACACACACTTAATAGCTTTCTCTCTTTTATTTCTAGTCTTACTACCCTACCCTGTGGGTTCTGATAAAATCTTGTGTTAATTTCATCATACTTATCCCTTCACCTAATAAACATATGTATGCACACATACAGTTTTATAAGGTTTTGTTTTTATAAAAATGGGGTTATAGTATACATATTATTTTTTAAAACTACATATTATTCCTTAATTTGCTTTTTTTAAAGATTTTATTTATTCATGAAAGACACAGAGAGAGGGAGAGAGAGGGAGAGAGAGAGAGAGAGGCAGAGACACAGGCAGAGGGAGAAGCAGGCTTCATGCAGGGACTCCAGGACTCCAGCCAGGATCACGCCCTGGGCCGAAGGCAGGCACTAAACCGCTGAGCCACCCAGGGATTCCCTGCTGTTTTTCTTTTAATAATATAGACATCTTTCCAAATCTACTAGATTCTACTATGTCTGCATACAGTACTGCTTATTTTATAATATTGACAGGCCATGCAATAAATGCATTCTCTTCTTTTTCTTATTACACACCATAGAATAATAAATATCTTAGATCAGACCCCCTCAGTTTGCTGTGCATGGGCAGAGATACCTTTACAATGCAAAATGAGACATTTTCAGTGAGATGGAGCTCTTTCTGCATTTCTTGTACTTTTCTCTTCTGACCCATCTGAGAGGGAATAAAATAGCATTGTCTGTTGGGTTGCATCCAGGTCATACCATCTATGTGTTCTTCTCCAACCTTTGCAAACACTTCTCTTTATCACAGGGCCCAATGAAACTAAAGAATTAGGGAGAGGGCATGTACTGGCCCAAGACTTCATGACTCTTAGATTATGAGTTTTATTATATACAACATTCCACTTATTTTAGAGCTGTGCTGTCCAATATAGCAGCCACTAGCCATAAGTAGTTACTTTAAATTAGAATATTTAAAATTAAATAAAATTAAAAATTCAGTTCCTCAGTCAGACTAGACACTTTTCTAGTACTCAGTGGCTCTAGATGTCAAAATGGTGACTATATTGGACAATGCAGAAAGCACATTTCCATCATCACAGAAAGCTCTGTTGCACAGTGATAGTTTAGAGATACTATAGAGTTTTATTTTTCAAGAAACAAGTGGAAAGTAAATTCTTTGTTTCTGTCTCTAGAATACCATCCTCACTGCATGCCGTATAAAAAATGAGTGGCTGGAAACCCATTTGGAAGCTTCCATTAACGAGCTTTCTGAGCAGAAACAACAATTGGAAGATATTGTGACTCCTATCTTCACAAAAATGGCAACACCATGTAAGTTTTGGATGAAAATGGTTTTAATATCAGATAAGATGAAGATAAGGTTCAGTGTTGTCATTTCTGATATATTCTGATTTTAACAATCTCCATTAAGTAGCCATTAACCTTTTACCAGCACATATATAAGTATGGTATAAATCCCTAGATTCATTATCAATTTCAATATTAAGAATAAAAATAATAACTGAATTATTTCTATAGAGAATGTCTAATGCTAGTCTTAATATTATTACCATTACTCGTTCATTTTATATAATTTACTATGCCTTTGATTTTCAACTAGGAAGGCATGTCCTCTTAGGGGATGGAGTGGCAAAATTTGAAAAAGCACTTTCAATATCATAACTGTATTTTGAAAAGCCTGTTGGGGAAATGCTTTCCTGTCCATGGGGAAGGTGCACTATCCGAATCTTGGTGGCAGGCATACCTAAGAATTTTTGAAATGTCAGCTTTATTGAGATATAATTCTTATGCTATAAAATTCACTATTTAAAAATGCACAACTCAGTGGTTTTCAGTATTTTTACAGAGTTATATAATCAACACCACCATCTAATTTTAGAACATTTTACCACTCCCAAAAGAAACCGCATTGGCAATCACCTCCCACCTCCTATAAGCTAATCTTTTCTATTTCTATAGATTTGCCCATTCTGGACATTTCACAAATGGAATTATACAATCTGTAGCTTTTGTATCTGCAGTCTTTCATTTAGCATATTGTTTTCAAGGTTCATCCATGTTGGAACATGTTTCAGTATTCCTTTTTTTTCTGAATAATATTCCAATTGTACCGATTCAAAATTATCCGTTCATTATTTGATCAATATTCATAATACTTTTGGCTATTATAAATAACAATGCTGTGAACTTTCATGTACAAATTTGTGTGACTGCTCATTTTCATTTCTCTTGGGAGAATTGCTAGGCTATCGTTTGAGGAACTGCTGAACTATTTCCAGTAAGCAATGTATATGAAGATTCCAATTTCTCCACATCATCACTAATATTTGTTATTATCTTTTTAAAAAAATTTAGTCATCCTAGTGGATGTGAAGTGTAGTCCTTATTAATGTAGTCCTTATTTTCATTTCCTTAATTACTAATGATGTTAAACATCTTTTTATGTGCTTGTTGGCCATTTGTGTATTTTCTTTGGAGAGGTATCTATTTGAATCCTTTGCCCATTTTTAAACTGGGTTGTCTTTTTATTGTTGATTTGTCTTTACGTATTTTGGAGTGAACTCCCTTATCAGATATATGATTTGCAAATATTTTCTCCCATTCTGTGGATTATCTTTTCATTTCAATTGTGTTCTTTGAGACAAAAAAGACTTTAAGTTTGAAGTCCAATGTATCTATTTTTTTGTTGTTGTTGCTTATGCTTTCAGTCTCATATCTAAGAAACATTGCCTAATCTAAGGTTACCAAGACTTACTCTTATGTTTTCTTTGTAAGAGTTTCGTAGTTTTAGCTCTTTTCATTTAGCTCTATGGTCCATTTTGAGTTATGTTTTATATATGATGTGAACTCATTCTTTTGAATGTGGATATTGAGTTTGATCTTTATTTCCAGGGCAGAAGGTTGCCATTAGCAGAGAAGAAAGATTAAGTAGGGGTGAATAATATGGCTTTCCTTATAAAATGGATGAAGAAGAGCCTAGAGGGAGTGAGACTAGCGTAGTCCAAGAGTGAGATGCCTAAGACTTGAATTATTGATGGTTCGGTTTGGTTCCCACCATCTTCCCCTGTTCTACTACTACTGTTAGCCTGGACCATCACCCCTCCCAGCTTCGCTTCTCATTTCTGAAGAAGAATCACCTCTCTTTTCAGGTCTCCTACATCCCCCCCAAGCACCTCAGTATCTTATGCCTTCATATTATAGAAGTGTTAGATCTTGATTGAACCTCTGAATTGACCTCCTCATTTTACAATGAAGAAAAGTGAAGACCAGAGAGGTTAAGCAGTTTATTCAAAGTTATTCTATTCAATAGCAGAATTAGGAATAATAGTATCAATTATATGGGAAATGTGACCTCATACCTTTAAATATTAAAAAAAAAAAGTAGGGAAGAATTCTTGAATTGACATACCAACACCAAGGCTTAATTAATGACGGTTCAAACTGGGACATACTCATTTATTTCATGCCAATTATTTTAAAAACTGGCTCCACTTTTATTTTATATTATAAACTAATTAAGTGTAATTTTAAAATCTGCTTCCTTTCAGGTCAAGTGAAAAGTGCCAAATCTGTAGCCTAAGCCATGGTCCGAAAAGAAGTCAAGATCATACCTCCTACTGAACGTATATTTTATAAAAGACCACACTTCCATCTAGTATTTATAAAAGCAAACTTACTCAATATGCCAATTGAAGTTACGAAAATAGATGTGGGATTTTATAAAAAGGTTTAAATATGAAATTAAATCACCTTGCTTTTGTTTTACCTGATTCAGCATGGCTTAAGTCCAGGCACTGTGGCCATGCCTCTGCTCCAAGTGAAGTTCCATATGAGTTCCACATGCTCTTTCCAGAGAGCTCTGGGGTACCAATCACTCACCACAGCTCTTTGGAAGCTCTAACGTCTGTATAAGGAATCCAACAATTTTCTGTGTCACTGAGGCATTCTATTAAATGGAGGAATTCTATTAAAAAAAAAAGACATATTAGCTATTTCCAGAGGAAAAATATGTTCTCCCTCTTTCAAAGGAAAGCTGTAGGATGCCATTCTGGAGCAAGGAAATGTTAAGAGGGGTTTAGATTCACACTCCTCTTCTTGCGTAACAATTACTTTCTATGTCTAAATTAAAATGTACCTGTGAGGTGAGATTTAGTCTTTTAGTGAAAAATTTCTCATTTGTCTTTAATCTCTGCCTCCTCTTCTCTCTCTCTCTCTTCCTCCCTCCCTGCTCCCCCCCAACACTTAGATTTCCCCTATTCTATAGGTTTGGTAAAATAGATATCTTAGTAGGGCTCCATGCTATCTTTCTGTCTGTTCTGTTTTATACTTCTTAGGTTTTAAATATTATTGCTGACTTCCTATTAGCGATTTGGAATGTCTTTTTTTTCCTAGTTTGTCTATAAGCCTTCCATTACTGAACCTTCCATTACTCTGATTTTGTAAAAAAAAAAAATTTATAGAAAGAACATGTTTTTAAAAACCCCCACATTTATTTGTTGTTCGTATGACTTTCTCTTTTGTCCTACCCTGAAAGCTAGTTTTTTTCACTATAGAGAAGAAGGAAAAGAAATAAGCAATTCAGTAATTCCTTGTCAGTTGACACTTTCTCAATCATGGTTTTGAGATTACATTGTTTTAAATTTGTATCACAAATTTTTAAGTTTTGAGATCATTTTTATGTATGAGCAAATAGTTTCAGTTGCCTTAAGCAAAAGAATAGAGGAGTAGTTGTCACTGCCCTCTGGTAGACCCAGTGGTATTTACAGAGGAGCCCTACAGAGAAGGTCTGTCCGTGATTGCTCTGTTTTCTTCCTGCTGCGTGCTGCCAGAAGTCCATTATCTTTAAGCACTCTAGTAACTTGGGACAAGGCTAGTTGCCATTTTTACTGTTTCTGCTCTAACTTTACATTTCCTGAGCCTTGATCTTGAATATGACGTGACGTCCCAGGTGTGTGGTCCTGGTAATTAGGAGAGGATTCCTGAATCTCACTTAAAAGATTCCTAGAGAAGACTTAGACACTTGTGGACATGCCTAGTACAAAATAAATCCCTCTCTCCTTTGTTTATCTGTCAGTCCTTATCTTCAAACTTCTTGAAGCTTTTGATGTTTATAATAATATTGTTCTCTGGAAACTCCTTAATTGGCACCTTTATGTCATTATGGTTACTTTATTTTCTTAACAATCTCCTTTTCTAACTCCTTCACTAGCTTTTGCAGTCTGAATGTGCTAGTATCCCCCCAAAATTCATATGTTAAAACCTAATGTGATAATGTTAGGAGGTGGAGCCTTTGGGAGGTGATTAAAAAAATGTTCATGAGGGTAAGGCCCTCATGAATGGGACTAGGCTCTCCTTATGAAAGAGACCTCCAGACAGTTACTTGCCCCTTGCACCATGTGAGGTTATAGAGAAAAGACAGCCATCTAGGAGGTGGGCTCTCACCAGACACTGAATTTTCTGGCACCATGTTCTTGGACTTCCCAGCCTCCAGAACTGTAAGAAATAAATGTTGTTTATAAAGTGCCCAGCTGATGGTCTTTTGTTATAGCGGCCCAAACTAAGACACCACCTCCTATTCTTCATCTTGCCTCCAGCAATGGAAACTACTCAAAAGTCAGTCCTATCTTACAATTTTATATATCAGTTATACCTCAATAAAGCTGAAAGAAAAGCACCAATTCTGACCCTTGGCAAAGCAGTCTGTAATTCTCCATCCCATGGTCTTTTCTATCCCCAGCGTTAGGAAGCCCTGATCCCTCCCTTTTTAGGGCAACCATAGTGCTAATAGCCACATAGACATTCTATTTAATTGTTCACATGTTTGTCTCCCTATGTGAATTGTGAACTTTTTGAAGGTAAGGGATTTGTAATGTTTTTCTTCATACCTCAAGAGCCTATATGATAGTAAGTAAATAACAGTTGAATAAATTCTCTTTTGGCACTACTTTATTCAAGGAGCTCATTGGTCTTCATTCATCTATAGAACTTATTCACCTTTCTAAAAACGACTCCTGAACCCTTCTCTCCATATCTTGCTCATGCCAGTGCTCCATTTTAGCTCCCACTCCTCCAGTAGACCAACTGCATGTACACGCAGCATTACAACTATATATCCAGTTTCCCCTGTAACCTTCTGTTTGCTGATCTTCACCTTAAATGCCACACTACTTTTTAGGCATGTGAACCTGGTGCTTACCAAGGGATTCCGGGATCTCACTTCAAAGATTCCATTGATGTGAGGATATAGTACTTCTTATAATCTGTTGTTGCATTGATCTGTTGCTCTTATACATAGGAGGGTTAAAATGCCCGTATGCTTTGAGTTTGAGCTATTACATAGGTACCTGTAGGGTGTGTTCTGAACACTCACAAAGTAATTATTATTTCAGTTTTCATACTAGTAAATTAAATCATTTTATTTGGGAAGTGGTCAAGCAAAGGCTAAATTCAGTGCTGTGGTGAACTCTACACAGTGGTTCCTGAGACTTGTGTATTTTGATTGGAAAAATGTGAAAAAATGGAGGAGATTGATATGACATTATTAAGAAAACAGCTACTATCTGCTCTTACTATCATTTAATAAAAGACATTTTGATATCAGAAAAGAAGGGAAGGAATGATTTCATTGTAAGGCTCTGCCCTTTAAATTGACTAAATTAAAAAAAATAAATTGACTAAATTAAGCTTTATTATGGACTTTTATATTTCTCTCATTTTGCCATGTATGATGGAACTTTTGTCATGAATCACCACTGGTTTATGGTCCAGCCTTTGAGAACAACTATCTAGACTGAGATGAGGCAGCAGAATGCTATTTAGGTTAACATGATGCTCTAAGTTGTAAAGTGCTAACAATACACTCTGATCTAATATGTGAAACATTGTATTCTCCAAGTTGGCCACATTTCCTGTCCTACTGCTCTTACAATGTGATCATGACCTTCCTCATAGAGAAAGGTAGATCTCTGTTCTCTCTTGAATCTAGGCAGCCCTGTGATTATAGTTGAAGTAATACTATGTGATTTCCATAGATCATAAAAAGTGATGCAGTCTCCAGTTAGTTCTTTTGAGATGCTCAGTCTTGGAAACCAGTTTGTGTGGAGAGTCCCATATGGACAGAAACTGAGGCCCCCAACCTGAAGCCCTGTTTGAGCTCCAGCTCCAGCTAGCTCCAGCTAGCAGTCACCACCGACCTGCCAGCCATATGAGTGAACCATCTTGGAAGTGGATCCTCCAATCAAACCACTGCAGCCAGTGCTCTATGGAGCAAAGACAAGCCTTTTGTGTTGAGTCCTGTCAAAATTGTAGATTTCAGCTAAATAAATAATTGTTGTTTTAACCTCCTAAACTTTGTGTCTTTATGCAGCATTATATCATACAAATTTTAGACTCCAGTAGTGAGAAATTGACATAAAAAACCCTAAAATATGTGGTGTTGCCTTTTTGGGACTGGGTGATAGGCAGAAGCCCAAAGGGCCCAGAGAAGAGTGTTAGTGAAAGATGCAGAATCTTTAAAAACCCCTAGGAAGTTATTAGTGGGAGTTTGATAGGAAAGAGAGGAAAATATTAGAAGCTGGAAAAAAGGGGCCCTTGTTATGTGATGGTGGTAAGTTCGACCACATTGTTGTCTAAGTAATAAACTCAATCATCATGCTAAGGATTTTTCTAGACAGTAGTCAAGCACCACCTGGCTTCTTCTATTGCATTGTGAGAGGAGATAGATGAGCTGAAAAGGAACAGTTCAGTTTTCAAATGAAATTTTAAAGAAATATGGTATATCCAGTACTCACTGGATTTGAAAATAAAATTGTTTCTCATGCCTAGCCTTTCTAGATGGCAAAAAAATCTCAAACTAAGAAATGAATTCTGAGAAAAGATAAAATCTCAGCTGGGATTGTGAGGTTGTAAGACCTTAGAAGTATCTAAGGTAGTGGCTCCTGGAACTGCTCAGACTTGAGATAGGCTTTTTCAGTGCATCTAGGAAGATGACCTCTAGTTGCTCTAGGCAGTCATTGTTCTAGCTAAACCAAAATGCAAAGAGAGCAAATCTCTGTCAATAATAATATATATCAAGCTTAGGAACCATCTAATTAGCCCTATCTGAGTCCCATGTCCATCCCTGAACCAATCATTGTATAGGGGGATGAGAAACTATGACTAACCAGCCTTGTCTCAGTCAGTTAATATAATCTATTAGAATATGGGGTTGGGGGAAATGCCCTGGGCAGCCTCTCAGCCCTCAGCTCCTAAAGATGTCATAGTTTACTCAGCTGGCTCTAGTAAAAATGGTGAAATACAGATTAATGCTTTTCTTTAGAGTTCTATGGGAAAGATTATAATGTAAAGATGTTCAATCATCTCTGTATTTTAGTTATATTCCATTTCTAGCAGAACTATGTGTAATCTAGAGCCAACTGTGAATTTTGTCCAAGGTTTCTCAAGGTAACAAGGATTTTTCTAAAAGCCATGGAGAACCCGAATTTTGAAATATAAAGCTTCACGAGACTTACCGATAGGATCTAGGTGACTCAAGTGAGCCTGAGGGGATAGCAGGATAGGAACTAGGTAGAAGGCGGAAGGATGTTACTCAAAATGATATGAAGCAGTTGAGAGAATTCAAGGTGACCAGTGGTATAGATAACAGAGATGAAAATGGGAGAAAGGATAGTGAACTTGGTAACTAGGAGAGTTAAGTAAGGGCATGGGAAAGAGTAAGGAATTAGTCTCTCAAGAGAGAGCCTGTGCAGGGTGCCTGGGTGGCTCAGTTGGTTAAGCATCTGCCTTCAACTCAGGACATGATCCCAGGGTCCTGGGATTGAGCCTCATGTTGGCTGTCTGCTCAGTGGGGAGCCTGCTTCTCCTCCCTCTGCCTGCTGTGTCACCTGCTTGTGCTCTGTCAAATAAAATCTTTTTTAAAAAGAGCCTGTGAATAAGACAGCTTTATTTTTTAAAAACATGATCCTTGGGACTTATGGGCTGAGTGGTTTAAAAGAACCATACCAGACAACAACAAAGTGTTGAAAGCAAATATTTTGAAGAATGGGGTATGGGTACCAATGGTGGTTGCTGCAATCAGGGCCAGACATAGAGCTATTGACTAAAACTCTTTAGTTTCAAGTAGGAATTGAGACTTTGATTTGTCAAAGATTCTTTGATATCTAGTGATGTAGAAGATTGATGATAGATTTAGTAATCCCACTGCTGTGGTGCTATCCTTGGTGCCCTGGGGAAGAGGATTAGACTAGTATGACATAAGAACGAGAGAGTAGAACTTCATTGTCACAAAATAACTTCCTTGAAAATAAACTATAAAGTTCTTAACAATGTTCATTTGTTTAAATTTGTACTGTATATTTTTAGTGATTAGATGTGAGGCAAAAATATATTAAGTTTGGGATCACAGAATTTAGGATACACTTCTCCTCCAAAGAAGAATGAGTAATGTTGTTTCTTCAAAGTAAGGGCCCAAAGTGAGAAATTCCCATCAAAAAGGACAGATAGGTAGAAAAAGAGAAAATGAGGAGAAATGAAAAAGTCAGATGGGAGACCAGGCAGTGTTGAAGAGGCTTAGGGTTGGAGAATGAAAAACAAGAGTATATATTTAAAAAAGAAAAAAAATAGGAGGAACTTCTGTCTACATGGTGAGTGACCATTTCACTATTATGTCAGGGAGAGAAAATCAGTTAAAACAGTTGTGGGTTGAGCATTCAGAACTGCAAACTTCCCTGGAACTGGATCACTTAGCTGCTTCTGGGTTGGAGGGGGGGATGAATGTAGCCAATCAGAATGAAAGTAAGTTGGCAAGCAACCAATGGGAATTAGGAATGGAAATAGCTTTGGGTGAGATATCAGTTGGCAGTACTGTCTCTGGCAAACAGGCACAGAGCTGAGCATTGTTCTTTGTGATTTTCGAGGGCCTTCATCTTGATTCCAACTCTGAACTGGCTTAGCCTTGGAAGACGGTATCTCTGGTCTTGGTAATTTAGAGAAAAATTGGATTTGAGAGTGATGCTGTAATGACAGGTGGGGATAGCAAGATGTAAGGATGCCAAAGACCTGAAGGGCTACTTGAGGGACAGGTGAAGTGGCTTGAAGATGTAGCAATTGAATCTCATTTCTGGCCCATTTCTGCTTTACTCCCAAATCATTATGGCTTGTAGACCAAACAAGTGCAAAATGAAGACCCAAAGATTAATTTTAAATATTATTGGGGATACCTCAGGAACTAATAGGGATTTTTAGATTAAGGTTAACTGCAAGGAAAAATAAAACAGAATGAGTCGTCAGGACCACTACATAGATTTGTGCATGCTGTGTTCTGCGTAAGGGCACCAGCTGTGGGTAGGTACTGGGACTGAAATCCAACCTATTACTCATGGGCCAAGCCATGTGCCCTGTCATCAGGAAGGGGGACTTTTTCTAATTCACTTAAAAGTATGATAAAACCTCAACTTTAGTCTTTTCCTTTGCTTTTAGGTTATTGATCCTCTTTCCCCAACCTGACTTTATCTGGTGTGACTCCACTTTGACCTCATTTCCCTTTCCCATTTTAGATTTGGAGGGGCCCAAGAGAGGGAAAAGAGGACATGGGATTGAAGTGGTAAAGGGGAATTCCAGAATGATTTGTACCCATGGAGGAAGAGGTCCCCCTCAAAAAGTTCAGTTGATCAAATGTTTGGAGAGTCTATGGGCCACATACTGTGTGCACAGCCTTAAGGAAAAATAATATTCATCCCTGGCCCTTGAGAAACTCACTGTCTGATGAGGAATGCATATACATCACTAGATCATACAATGATTATGTGCAGAAATCAGTGCAGTCGCTCCCCCATGTATACATAGAAATATGAGGAGGAAACACTAACACCGCTGTTGGTGTTCCTATAAAATGCTCTTGGAGAAGAGGTAGAACAGAAGGTATCAATGTGTGCCTGTGGCAAGAAGAGGTGTGCTCAGAACTGAGTGTGGTACAACCTTAGGTAGAAAGAATGTGGATGCACTGGGACCCAGCAAATCTCATTTTCTTCTTTTTGCGCGTTATAACAGGTAAGTCTGTGGTGGTGGAGTAACTCACGAACTCATCACATTAGGACTGATGAAGCAATGTCGAATACAAACTCTTCCTTCTGGGTACACAAAGAAGGTCACAGACCTGAATTACTCTGTGGAAGTTCAGCTAGCTACACAGTTGTAAATGGGCATTTCATAATGCTTGTGTGTTCCACTATTATTTTGGGAGGTAAGTGGTTGTTTCTAAATTTCATCTTTTCTCTGTCCTCTGAACCTTTCTTGGTGCAGAAAGTGATCACAACTTCACCATAAGAAGTCCCATGTAACTAAGATGTGAGCGAATGCTGGCGGTGTAGCTTCATTTAATGATCAGTAGCATCTCTACTATGTGCTTTCCTTTGGTGTCATTTGCTGAGCACGGCAGAGTGGTAGGCAGAAGGAGAATCAGACAGTCCCCAACCTCAAGGAGGGCTCTCATTAGGGAGACAGGCAAATAATAATTACAATGCAATGTGGTTAGTTTAACTGTAAGGTTGTGGTCCAGAGTCTCTGGTAATGGGGAGGCAAGCCTCATACTGCCCGCTTGCCGGGCTTAACCTAACCAACATATATCTGGGATGAGGAGAGGGCAACTGGGGCAAATGGGACCCAAACATTTGTGTAGTTGGTGTCATTAGTTGTGTCCATTTTATTATGGCTTTAGATGTGATTTTACTTCAGGGAAAGTGCTACCCACTCCACCCCCTAGTGGAGAAATAGAGACTTCACAAGTAAGGCCTTGTAAATGATAATTAAGAATTCAATAGGTATGGTGAATGATATTCATGTACATGAGACACCAGATTAAAAAAGACAGGTACTTTATATCACAATTCAATGCTTGAGATTAGGGAAAGGTTTCTAGTCCTCTTTAAGACATTTTTCTTTGAGAAAAAATGGTCAGCTGCTTTAAAATCCTTCCTGGAATTGGGAAGACTATAATGAAACAATGAAGCAAACACTCTTAAAAACGTCTTCAATTGTACTTACTAAAGGGAGCAAAATCACCTTCTATGAGGTGATCTTTAAAACACACACTAATGACACTGGTCCCTTGTGGTAGCAGGAGGTGCTGGTGACCATGAATTTCATCAGCTCTAGATCCTTGATGATTACATAGAGATAAGTGCTCCAGCAGGAAAGAGCATTGCAGAAATAGTTCAAGAAATATTTCTTTAGCCTTACACAAAAGAAGTATTCAATATATATCTGCTGATTTAGCTGGAAGACAGGAAATGCAGAATCTGAGATGCCAATGAATCTTGCCCTAGGCATACATTACCTTAATTGGATTATGTCCATATATTGCTTCAGGAGGGAATGAACTGAATAATGTTGGACAGAGGGGAGAGTTGCAAGGAAAGACAATGCACGTAGGCAGAAAATAACACATGTCTGCTGTTGTCTGGTGAAGGCAGTTTTCCCTATAGTTAGAACTCAGTTAAAAGTATTTCTGGCTTTTAGGAAAACTATAGAATATATGTTGCTGTAGTTTAGGATACGTGATTACTAATAAAAAGTGTACTATGTAGGTATGAAGTTTGGCTTTTTAATTTCTCATCATCAGATCCACAGGTAAGACACTTGTACAGTGATCATAATGTGCCAGTCATTGGGCAAATGGGAGATTGTTGGAACTTCAGCAGTTTTCAAGTTCACCTGTAAGAGATACTTCATGATTTGTGTCTTAAGAGACAGTATTTCTAATAGCTGCTAATTATTCATACTGATATGACACTCAGAAAGTTTAAATTGAGAAAGGTTGTTAAATTGTTTTGAAACTTATACATCCTGTCTAAATAATATATACATGTGTTCCCTCAGGATTTTTGAAGACCCTTTTAAAGAATTCTGAAGTCACTGTTTTGATGATTCTTTCTCTGTTAGGATTTGTGATAGGACAACTGGCTCACAATTCTATTGAGGTAATGTATATACAATAAATTAGTAAATTAGTAAAATGTGAACAGGTACTGAAAAAATTCATCTGGTATTATACATTTTGAAAATGAAAAAAAAATTTAATATTTGGAAGTAAGGGAAATTTGATTGCATTCTTGGGTTCTTCATCCTCTGCCTTGGGAGCCTTGTTCTTATTTCCTTCCCCTGTCCATATATAGGCTTTATCTGTGCTTCTGTCTGCAACATCTGTGGAGACTCTCACTCTCATTATCAAAGGCAGCTATAATTGTCATAAGGAAGCTCAATTGTTCTTTCCTAACTGCCAGATTCAATGCAAAACGCATCATATAATACATAATATAGATACAAGAAAAATTTTTATTACTCGATTTCAAATGCACAACAGTGTGATCAATAACAATTTGTCTCCACTCATTCTTTTATTTTTTTAAAAAATGCAGATTATGCTTGTATCTGTCTAGGATTTTAAAAGCCTCTTGCTACTCTTCTGAAAACACCTGCATTACTACCAACATCTTTTGAGTGTTTACTATGCACCAGGCCCTCTTTAAAGTGTTTTGTATTTATTAGTTTATTAACTTATTAATTATTTTTCCAGTGAAATATGGAGCTTTTTATTTTTAAAAATGTGTTTTATTTGAGTAGAGTTGACACACCATGTTACATTAGTTTCAGGTGTGCAACATAGTGATTCAACTTCTCTATATGTTATGCTGTGCTCAACTTAGTATTAATTCTTGAGTTAATTCATTCACCTTCACAGGAACCCAGCAGAGGTAGGTATTCTATCCTATTTTATGGATGAGGACACTGAGGCACAGGGGGGTTAAATAATGAGGATTAAACTATTAGTTGAGTGTACACATTTTAGTGTACAACCTTCATGACTTATGTCTTATATATACAACATGTGCTATTATCTGTGTGTTATTTTTCTCTTCTTGACTCACTGGAGGCCTTTATTATTTTTTCTAAAGATTTATTTATTTATTTAAAGATTTATTTATTTATTTGAGAGAAAGAGAGAGTGCAGAAGGTGGGAGGGGGAGACATTCTTTAAGCAGACTCCCCACTGAGCAGGGAGCCCAATCCAGGGCTTAATCCCACTACCTGGTGAGATCCCAACTGCAGCCAAAACCAAGAGTCAGATGCTCAACTGACTGAACCACCTGGGGTATCCCAACTCACTGAAGGACTTCAAAATCCTAGGCAAATGTTTCTGAAATCACAAGTACCTGTGCAAGTTTCACTTTTCTATCTTAATGCAAATTAGAATAAATATCTAACAGTCAAACAAAAAATACTTATCTGTGAACACCTAAAGTCCTGTCAGGGTTCACCAGTGGCAGGGGTATCACTTTTGAAAACACTGATTACAATACCACAAACAATGTTTGTGTAGCTCAAACTCACACAATCCTTTGGTGAATACAGGATTGTACCTATAACTCATCTGGACAGTTGAGTCAAGAAATCAATACCCTCAGGACTGGCCTTGTAGATACTCTCTCATTAGTTGCAGATTGGAATATACTAAAATGTATTGATTGATATAACATGAATTTCTGATACCTTGAGAGTTACCTAATTCTAATTTCTGATACCTTAGAATGGCAGCGAACTAATTTATTGTTTGTTAGTTTAGGTGCACAAAATTGTCTACCCTCTTCTGAAAACACCAAGTTATTCACTTTATTGTTATTTTTCACCTATGATTATATTTATGGCTGCTTTGGATGTGGACTTTTGTATACTCAAGAATGTGTTTTGGCAGGTAAGAACACATTTAAAAAAATCATGGTCAATCTTGATTATTTATGTTAGCAGAAGATGTTTGTCTATAAAGAAGATTGATAATTCACAAATCTCACAGTTCTGTGGAACCACTAATTAAAAGGGAATTGATGGGAGAGAGAAGGAATAAATATTTGCTGAGTGACCACTGTGATTAGGCGCTGTGTAAATATCTCCATTTTATATATAAACAAATTGCAGTTCAGAGGTCACAAACAAGGCTGATAAATGGGAGAAACTGGATTCTAAACCCACATCTGACTTCATCTCAACTATATCTAGATTTGCCCATTGTCACTGCTAAGATTGTTTTATTTGTGGCTTCTCTCTTTTTTTCTTAATCGTGCTTGCCAGATGATTTTTTTTTCTTTCAGAAAACATTTTATTTTCTTTAGTTTTATTCTGTGCTTTTTCCTTATATCTTGAGTTAGATATTAGTTGATTGATTTTTAGCTTTATTTTTTTGTATTTTGTACATTTAAGGTTTTAAATTTTTTTTTGTAAGTACTCTTTTAGCTTCACCCATGTTTTGATTTTAGTACTTTTTGTTTTTGTTTTTTTCTTAGAGAGAGAGAGGGTGCAGGGGAGGGCCAGAGAAAGAATCTTAAGCAGACTCCTACGCCCAGCACAGAGTCACAAGGGGCTCAATCTCCCAACCGTGAGATCATGACCTGAGCCTAAATCAAGAGTCAGACACTTAACCAACTGAGCCATCTAGGCCTCCCATGATTTTTAGTGTTTTCATTATCATCCCGAACCTACCTAAAATTTTTACTATACTTTTTTCTTTGACCCATTATTTTTTCCCCATGTGTGGAAGAATTTTATTTGTTTTATTTATTTATTTATAATTGGAATATAGTTGACACACCATATTATATTGTAATATATACACCTCAACTTCAGGTGTATATCCTAGTGATTTGACAATTATATACATATGAAATGCCCACCATCATGAATGTAGTCACCATCTGTCATCATAAAAACTTATTACAATATTAATGACCATATTCCCTATGCTATACTTTTATCCCTGTGGCTTATTTACCTTATAACTGAAAGTTTGTACCTCTTAGGCCACTTTTATTATTTTGCCCATCCTCCATTTCTTTTCCCTCTGGCAACCATCAGTTTGTTTTCTGTATTTCTGTTTCTGTTTTATGTTTATTTATTTTGGTTTTTTTTTTAGATGCCACTGTAAATGAAGTCATATGGTATTTGTCTTTTTCTCCTTTTTATAGTTATATATTTTTATTTTTGAAAATTTTATTTAAATTCAATTCATTAACATGTAACGTATTATTGGTTTCAGAGCTAGAGGTCAGTGATTCATTAGTTGCATATAACACCCAGTGCTCATTACATCACGTCTTCCTTAATGCCCGGTCTCCTAGTTACCCCTCCCTCCACCAGCAACCCTCAGTTTGTTTCCTATGATTAAGAGTCTCTTATGGTTTGTTGGCCTCTCTAATTTCGTCTTGTTTTATTTTTTCCTCTCTTCCCCTATGATCCTCTGTTTTGTTTCTTAAATTCCATTTATGGGTGAAATCATATGATGATTGTCTTTCTCTGATTGACTTGTTTTGCTTAGCATAATATCCTCTAGTTCCATCCACATCATTGCAAATGTCTTTTTTTGATGGCTGAGTAATATTCCATTATACTATATAGGCCGCATATTCTTTATCCATCTGTTGATGGGCATCTGGGCTCTTTCCATAGTTCAGCTATGGGGACTGCTGCTATAAACATTGGGATGCAGGTGCCCCTTAGGATCACTACATTTGTACCTTTGGGGTAAATACTCAGTAGTGCAATTGCTGGGTCATAGAGTAGTTCTATTTTCAACTTTTTGAGGAGCCTCCATATTGTTTTCCAGAGTAGCTGCACCAGCTTGAATTTCCACCAACAGTATAAGAGGGTTCCCCTTTCTCTGCATCCTTGACAACATCTGTTGTTTCCTGACTTGATAACTTTAACCATTCTGAGTGGTGTGAAGTATTTTCTCATTGTGCTTTTGATTTGTATTTCCCTGAAGCCAAGTGATGTTGAGCATTTTTTCATGTACCTGTTGGCCATTTGTATGTCTTCTTTAGAGAAATATCTGTTCATGTTTTCTGCCCATTTCTTGATTGGATTATTTGTTCTTTGGATGTTGAGTTTGATAAGTTCTTTATAGATTTTGGATACTAGCCCTTTATCTGCTATGTCATTTGCAACTATCTTCTCCCGTTCTGTCTTTTAGTTGTCTTTTGGTTTTGTTGACTGTTTCCTTTGCTGTACAAAAGCTTTTTATCTTGATGAAGTTCCAATTGTTCATTTTTGCTTTTGTTTTTCTTGCCTTTGGAAACATGTCTAGCGAGAAGTTGCTGTGGCTGAGGTCAAAGTGGTTGCTACCTGTGCTCTCCTCTAGGATTTTGATGGATTCCTGTCTCATATTTAGGTCTTTCATCCATTTTGAGTCTATTTTTGTATATGGTGTGAGGAAATGGTCCAATTTAATTCTTTGCTTTGGCTGTCCAATTTTCCCAGCACCATTTGTTAAAGAGACCTTTTTTTTTCCATTGGATACTCTTTCCTGCTTTGTTGAAGATTAGTTGACCGTAGAGTTGAGAGTCCATTTCTGAGTTCTCTATTTTGTTCCATTGTGGAATGTATCTATGTGGTTTTCCATTTCATTGTGTTTTCCTCAACTTCTTTCATGAGTATAGTTTTCTGAGTACAGATCTTTTGCCTCCTTGGTTAGGTTCATTCCTAGGTATCTTATGGTTTTGTGTGCAATTATAAATGGGATTGACTCCTTAATTTCTCTTTTTTTTTAAATTTTTTATTTATTTATGATAGTCACAGAGAGAGAGAGGCAGAGACACAGGCAGAGGGAGAAGCAGGCTCCATGCACCGGAAGCCCGATGTGGGATTCGATCCCGGGTCTCCAGGATCGCGCCCTGGGTCAAAGGCAGGCGCCAAACCGCTGCGCCACCCAGGGATCCCTCTTTCTTTTTTTTTTTAAAGATTTTATTTATTCATTCATGAGAGACACAGAAAAAGAGGCAGAGACATAGGCAGAGGGAGAAGCAGGCTCCATGCAGGGAGCCTATGTGGGATGTGATCCTGAGACTCCAGGATCACACCCTGGGCCGAAGGCAGGCCCTAAACTGATGAGCCACCCAGGGATCCCCAATTTCTCTTTCTTTTGTCTCATTATTAGTGTATAGAAATGCAACTGATTTCTGTGCATTGATTTTATATCCTGCGCTTTGCTGAATTCCTGAATGAGTTTTAGCAATTTTGTTTTTTTTCATATAAAGTATTATGCCATCTGCAAAGAGTGAGAAGCTGACTTCTTTGCTGATTTGGATGCCTTTTATTTCTTTTTGTTGTCTGATTGCTGAGGGTATGGCTTCTAGTACTCTGTGGAACAGCAGTGGTGAGAGTGGACATCCCTGCCTATTCCTGACTTTGGAGGGGAAGCCTTCAGTTTTTTCCCCATTGAGAATGATAATTGCTTGGGCTTCTCATAGATGGCTTTTATGATAATTAAGGTATGTTCACTCTATCCTTACACTTTGAAGAGTTTTAATAAAAAAAGGATGTTGTACTTTGTCAAATGCTTTTTCTGCATCTATTGGTAGCATCATGTGGTTCTTATCTTTTCTTTTATTAATGCAGATGTTGAACCACCCTTGCAGCCCCAGAATAAATCCCACTTGGTTTTGGTGAATAGTCCTTCTAATGTACTGTTGGATCCTATTGGGTGGTATTTTGGTGAGAAATTTTTTAAAAAGATTTTATTTATGCATGAGAGACACACGGAGAGAGGCAGAGACATAGGCAGAGAGAAGAACAGACTCCCTGTGGGGAGCCTGATGTGGGACTCAATCCCAGGTCCCCAGGATCACCACCTGAGCCAAAGGCAGACAGGCAGACACTCATCCACTGAGCCACCCAGGCGCCCCTTTGGTGAGAATTTTTGCATCCATATTGATCACGGATATTGGTCTGTAATTCTCCTTTTTGGTGGGGTCTTTGTCTGGTTTTGGGATCAAGGTAATGCTGACCTCATAGAGCATGCTTGTAAGTTTTCCTTCCATTTCAATTTTTTGAACAGCCTCCAAAGTATAGGTATTAATTCTTCTTCTTCTTCTTCTTCTTCTTCTTCTTCTTCTTCTTCTTCTTCTTCTTCTTCTTCTTCTGAGGTATTAATTCTTCTTTAAATCTTTGGTAGAATTCCCCTGGAAAGCCATCTGGCCCTGCACTCTTGTTTATTGGGAGTTTTTTGATTATTACTTCAGTTTCCTTGCTGATTATTGGTCTGTTCAGATTTTTTACTTCTTCCTGATTCCGTTTTGGTAGTTTATATATCTCTAGTAATGCATCCATTTCTTCCAGATTGCCTAATTTGTTAGCATATAGTTGCTCATAATATGCTCTTATAATTATTTGTATTTCTTCAGTGTTGGTTGTGATCTCTCCTCTTTTATTCACGATTTTATTTCTTTGGGTCCTTTATCTTTTCTTTTTTATAAGTCTGGCCAGGGGTTTATCAATCTTATTAATTCATTTAAAGAACCAGCTCTTAGTTTCATTGATTTGTTCTACTGTTCTTCTGGCTTCTATTTCATTGATTTCTGCTCTAATTTTTATTATTTCTCTTCTGCTTTATTTGCTGTTCTTTCTCCAGCTCCTTTAGGTGCAAGGTTAGAACTTTGAGAACTTTTGTGAGCTTTTGAGAACTTTTGTGTTTCTTGAGAAAGGCTTGTATTGCTATATACATCCTTCTTAAGACCATGGCATCCCAAAAATTTTGAAGAGTTGTGCCTTCATTTTCATTTGTTTCAGTGAATTTTTTTAGTTCTTTAATTTTCTGGTTGACTCATTCATTCTTTGGTAGGATGCTCTTTAGCCTCCATTATTTGAGTTCTTTCCGAATTTCCCCTTGTGATTGGGTTCCAGTTTCAAAGCATTGTGGCCCAAAAA